GGGATCGAGTCCCACATTGGGCTCCTTGCTCAGCGGGGAGCCTGCTTCTCCCTCTGCCTCTGCCTACCACTCTGTCTGCCTGTGCTCATGCTCTCTCTCTCTCTCTCTAACAAATAAATAAATAAAATCTTTAAAAAAAAAAAAAAAAGAGTATAGTTGACATCTAATAATTAACCTTAAATAGGGCAAAAAAAATAGTAAGAATAACACTGTTTTCTCTTTTTCATATTCTCTTCCTAAGAGCATTTATTCTTTCAAATAGTTATATAATTTTTCAGGGAAAAGGGGTGGAATTATTAAAAGATGGTTGTAAAATAGCTGATGGGCATCTTAAAATTCTTACATAAGAGATATTAGTATTGTGTTTTTATACAACTCAGCCAGGATTAATGAGCATAACATTTGCTTCATTTATAAATTAATTTGGACACTTTTTACACTTCATTATCCATTCTGCGTAAATTTTTTGATGAGTTAGTTTGCTTAAGGCAACACTAAGCTTTCTCATTCATGGAGAATCTAGTTAGCCCTTTGGTTTATCTCATGGGTAGAGCATAAAGTACTTGACAAATTTGATCTGACAGTTTTACAGTTATGTAACACAGAACAGAAGCTTAAAAACAACAAAAAAGAGAAGTGAGTGATTTATCATAGCAACTTACATTTCTCTTTAGAGCCTTACCATTTTTCTCTTGCCTTTAAACTATAGGAGACCCACCATAAGGCTAGCAATTTACAGTCATAAGTTAACCAATATTTTTTTATAAACAATTATAAATATTTAGAGGTGAAAAGGTCCTTAGGATTATCTTGTCCAGTTGCATCACATTACCAATGAGAATATAGAAGCTTAAAGAGGGTAAGTAACTTGCCCAGGGTCACTGATTTAGCTAGTGGCAGAGCTGACCGAAGAACCAGGGTCATACATAGAATTCCAATTCCAATTGCTCTATTCTTGTGTAATATGTGAATAGAATATTTAATAACAAGGGAATTATTATAATATTTTATGAAATAGTTCATATAACCATGACAAATAAGATTTTGCATATCGAGTAAAAATGATAATATTGGAAGGTATATTCAATTGTTTGGATTCCTGTTCTTTTAGCCCTACTAGCAGTATGACATTCTGTTTCTTCATCTATAGACTGGGGCTAATTGAAATATCTCACTGTCTTTTCAATGTGGCTGTCTCTTTAAAGTGTGGTATATGGTCACTTCTCAGTAAATGTTACTTGCTATTGTTAACTGATTTGTAATGATTTCTAAGTTCTTTCATCTTCATTTAATTGCTATCATGTGATCATTTAGCCAATGAAACAGAGCATTGAGAGCAACTGGTAATAAAAGTAATGGATTTAAGGACAGACTTGCAACCCAAAAACATTTTAGAAGGAGTGTATGTTGAGGGGGAGGCTTTGGAATTAGAGAAATATTTTCTAATTTTTATTTTATTTTATTTTTAAAGCTTTTATTTATTTGACAGAGAGAGAGATCACAAGTAGTCAGAGAGGCTGGCAAAGGGGGAGAAGGAAGCAGGCTTCCCGCTGAGCAGAGAGCCCCATGTAATGCGGGGCTCCATCCCAAGACCCTGGGATCATGACCTGAGCTGAAGGCAGACACTTAACCCACTGAGCCACCCACGCGCCCCTCTAATTCTTTTCATTTTAAAAACTATGATGCTATAGTTTTTTAAACTGAATTCAGGAGTCACAACTACTTAGTGGCGTTTCTCTCCTCAGTAATGCTCTTTATGCAAATTTCAAAGCTTTTAAATTGTTGGACTGTGGGAAAACAGAATTATTTCATTTTGTATAAGTATGTGAATATTATTTAATAATTTAATATTTAAAATTAAAAAAATAATTTAATAATTATTTTATATATAAAAGTTATTTAATACTATAAGCCCAGAGACAATTATTTTTCTGTTTAAAAATAGCCATCTAAAGAGGTTTAAGAATGAAAGATAATGAATTTCTGTTTTTACACCTTATTTAATTTAGTCATGTTGTACTTGCCTTTGATTTATAATAGTATTTTCTTATGGTAAGCACTGCTATACCTATGGTGAAATGTTTTCTAAAATAAATAAAATCTAAAAATCACCAACATACTGGTGATTTAGGAGATTTTTTTAAGTGGTACTCAGGTGAACATTTAAATGATGATAGTTAGAAATTTTAATGCTGATTAGGAAAATGTATAATCTAATATATCACATTGGTGGTTTTATAGTTAAGGATGAATAAAATGTTTCTTAAAAAGTGAACTGAGAGGGTGCCTGGGTGGCTCAGTCCTTAAGCTTCTGCCTTCCACTCAGGTCATGATCCCAGGGTCCTGGGATCGAGCCCTAGTGGGGCTTCCTCCTCAGTGGGAAGCCTGCTTCTCCCTCTCCCATTCCCCCTGCTTCTGTTCCCTTTCTCGCTGTCTCTCTATCAACCAAATAAATAAAATCTTAAAAAAAAAAAAAAAAAGTGAACTAAGGTTCTCCTACGTGCTACAACACGGATAACCTTAAAACCACTATGCTAAGTGAAATAAGCCCTGCACAAGGGGACAGCTATTGTGTGATTCCACTTACAAAGTTCTTGGACTAGGCAAATTCATAGAGACAGAGAATAGAATGGTGGTTAGTAGGGGATGAGGGAAGAGGGGATGGAGTGGTGATTGTTTAGTGGATACAGAGTTTCTATTTGGGATGGTGAAAAACTTCTGGAAACCAGAGAGTGGTGATGGTTGTACAACAGTGGGGGTATTCTTACTGCCACAGAATTATAAATCTAGGAATAGTTAAAATGCTAAGTGTCGTATGCATATTTACCACATTAAAAAAGAGGAGGGGAGGAAAGATGGAGAGAGCTGTGTGTATATTTTATTTATTTATTTATTTATTTATTTATTTATTGTGTGTGTATATTTTTAAAGAAGTGAATTGAGGGGCACTTGACTGGTTCAGTTGGTAGAACATTTGACTCTTGATCTTGGAGTTGTGAGTTCAAGCCCCACTTTGGGTGTAGAGCTTACTTAATAAAGAAAATTAACAGAAGTGATTTGAGAAATACATTAGTTAAATAGTGGTAGAGACATTTAACACCCTAGGAAAAATGTTAATGGTGGTATGCAAATTATTGAAGGTTGGGCAGCTTTAGGATAGAGGACACATCAATGGCTTAGGGAGACAGGCTCTTGTTTCTGGCTCACTCTGCTGTGGACTAGTGGGTGGGTCCACACATGACTCTTCCCTGAAGCGTTTTAGATAAGAAACCAGGATGTCCAAGACTGTTTACTGCTTTAAAATTGTCTTATTCTGGGCTGTATCATTGGGCTCTTTATTCAGCTCACCTACTTTGCCTATTTATTAGAATTATCTCCAATAATTGAACCGAAAACGTGCACTTAAAGCATGACATTAGCAATTAAAATCTTTAAAGAACCGTAATTATCATAGTAACAGTAGATGAAAAAGAAAATCACCAAAAACTTGCTGTTCAGTCCAATTTTTTCCTTCTACGTCCATTTTGTATTCTTTATCTAGAATGCCATATTATTTTTGTATGATTCTAATCAACTGCTTTTTGTAGGCTAAGTTTTTGACAGCTGACTTCAAACATAAGTTTTATCCTTTAGATTATGATTACTGTTAGCAAATGAAATTTTTATTTTTATTACCTAAAAAAAATTTTTTTAAAGATTTTTAGGGGCACCTGGGTGGGTGAGTCAGTTGGGTGTCCAACTCTTGGTTTTGACTCAGGTCATGATCTGAGGGTAGTGGGATCAACCTGGCCTCTGCTTGTCCCTCTCCTCTGCTCCTCCCCGGCTCACTCTCTCTCTTTCTCTCAAATGAAAAAATCTTTAAAAAAAAATTGAAAGATTTTTAGGTAATCTCTTCAACCAAGGTGGGGCTTGAACTCACAACCCTAAGATCAAGAGTCACATGCGCCACCTACTGAGCCAGTCAGGTGTCCCAGCAAATGAAAAAAAAATTTTTTTTTTAAGTAAGCTCCATGCCCAGTTTGGGCTCCAGCATGGGTCTTGAATTCACAACCCTGAGATAAAGGCCTGAGCTGAGATCAAGAGTTAGAACTGACTGAGCCAGCCACCCAGCACCCCCAGCAAATGAAATTTTCAAATGTATTTCATTCATAGCTTGTTCTGGTAGCTAATTTTCAAGAGAGTCTTTTGAGTTGGTTTAAGGGAAATGGTGTAATAGTAATCTTTCTTGAGCTTCATCTAGTCAGTGGTATGGTATGTTAAATGTCTCAATATTTTACTTGGAGTTAAGCTAGGATCTTGTCTGTAAGAGAGTAAAAACAATACATTCTCTTAACTAGCATCCTAATTATGCTTCTTTCATCTACTACTATTTGGTTTATGTTTTTAGTTTTACCTAAAAATTTTTTAAAAGATTTATTTATTTATTTTAGAGCTTGAGAGCAGGGGGACGGGACAGAGGGAGGGAGAATGCTGAAGCAGATTCTCTGCTGAGCTCAGAGCCCCATGCAGGGCTCCATCCTAGGATCCAGAGATCCTGACTTGAGCTGAATTTAAGGAATTACTCATTATTTTCTATTTCATTGCCTATTTTTAATATAAATGAATGTTTCAAAGTTTTCTTATTTTTAAAGATTTTATTTATTTATTTGAGAAACAGAGAGAGAGAGAGAGAGAGCATGAAGAGGGAGAGAGGCAAGGCAGATAGAGAGGGAGAAGCACATTCTTGCTGAGCAGGGAACCTGATGTGGGTCTTGATCCCAGGACCCCGAGATCACTACCGGAACAAAGGCAGATGCTCAATCAACTGAGCCACCCAGGCTCCCCACAAAGTTTTCTTTTGATGTCTATATTCAGTCAGCAGGCTCAAATTGTTGTCTGTCTTGGCATAGTGAAAGTGAAGTTTCCTTAAAGTACGGTGTTAAAATAAGTTTTTCCTATGAGTAAAGAAAGATAACATTTCATATGCTGAAACATTTGTCCTGTGTTGGTTGTTGTAGAGGATGGCATTCCCTGTGGATATGCTGGATAATTGCAGTCATGAGGAATTGGAAAATTCTGCTGAAGATTATATGTCAGATCTAAGGTGTGGGGACCCTGAAAACCCTGAATGTTTTTCTCTTCTTAATATTACGGTAAGGTGTGCAAAAATGGTTTTTGTCAACCTTTTAAGTTGAGTTTACACATGAAATCAGTATCTTATTTTTTAATCATTTAAAAATGTTAACTGATCACTTTGGAAATTTGCATCAGAAGACTGTTCAGTAAAATGGTTAAGTACTGATTGGTTAGTACAGCAGCATGATCAAGTCTTAAAAAGACACTCTATTGGTTATTGCTTAATATTTATATTTTGCCTTTAAAATTACATACAAGTTTTGCTGAGATGCGTTACTATATTTGAGCTAACTAAATTAAATTTACTTAAAAAATTAAATTTACTTTAGATTTGGAATTTGTGATTTTAGAAATTTTTTTTGACTATTATAAAAGTTTATTTAACAAAAAAAGTTCAGTATGAAAATGCACATGGACCTGATTTTTATATTGTAGTAGAACAGGTGCTGTGGAGAGGGGACATGTGGAAGCAGTTGATTCTTCTGATGAACACATCCATTTTATATACTCGTCCTAAGGCTTCTAACATGATGATACTATTTCCTCATATTACCACCATTCCGATATTGTTCTGTTGCCCACTGGTTGTCATGTCCACACATTCATCTATCACAAGATTCATAAATGGATCGAACTCCCTCAATATTCCTTGGGCATGTCTGCCACCATTTAATTTCATTGATAATTTCTTGTCCATAAATTTTTTCAACTCAGGAGAGTGAGCTTTGCTCATGGGGTCTACTTGGGAAGCTCAAAGATGCCTCCAATCAGAATTCATGGCATCCCTTGGGCTCCCGCGGTAGGCCTGGCCTAGAAATTTTTTAATAAAAAAATAATCAAAACATTGAATAACACATTTACGTGTCACAAATCTTCCTTTTTCTATCAAACTTCCTAATTAGTAAGCATGATATATTGTGATAGAAGGATTGTTAGCATTCCACTGTGAACCAGATAGTTCTCTAGCCTCTCTAGGCCTCAGAGTTTTCTCCTAGAAAATGATGTTTAAAGGCTTCTTTAAAGTCTGTTCTTCTAAAGGCACCATATTTTATAATTATCTGAATTGTAATATCTGTAAATGGGGAATTATGGTCAGATTAATGAAGGTAGAAAAATCTTAAAGTATCATATGTATCTCAGTGGAAAAACAAAGGTACCTTTCTGATGTCTTTTACTATAAAATGGAATCCCCCCCCGAAGTGTCTGAATAACAGACGATAAACTATAGTTGTTTTTTAATGAGTTTATGTACCATATCATGCCTTTGTTTTTATTCAAGTGTGTGGCTAGAGCACAGTGGTAATATTTGTTGAAATAAACTTAAATTTTTTTATAATAAAGTTTAAATAAACTTAAACTTAAATTTTTTCCCCCAAGATAGTAAAATTCCTGCAAAAAGGAAGTCTGATTTACTTTTTTTATACTAGAATTATCTTCTATGAAATTAAGTTACATAATTAGCATTAATGTAGAGAAAGTTTAATATTTTGATAGAAGCATGGTGTTTTTGTCCTATATTTTCTTAACAGACTTCACTAATCTCTAATCAATTGTCATTTCAGATTCCTATTAGCCTGTCAAATGTAGGCTTTGTACCTCTTTATGGTGGAGATCAGACTGAGAAAATTCTTGCTCTTTTTGCACCTGAGGACTCACTCACAGGTCTCTTTTCTGCTTAATCTTTATCAATTGAGGAACTTTTCTCCAAACAGTTATTAAAAAGTAGCTTCATGAGGGGCGCCTGGGTGGCTCAGTGGGTTAAAGCCTCTGCCTTCAGCTCAGGTCATGATCCCAGAGTCCTGGGATCGGCCCCCCCCCCGCAATCGGCAAGGGCTTTCTGCTCAGCGGGGAGCCTGCTTCCTCCTCACTCTGCCTGCCTCTCTGCCTACTTGTGACCTCTGTCAAATAAATAAATAATATCTTAAAAAAAAATAGCTGCATGAAAGAATTTAAAAAAGTGTTTCAAACTAAATTTTGGAAAATAAAATTTTCACTTGCTTGTAATAAAATGTTTAATGAAATAAGATAAAGTGGTATAAAATGGGGCCACATTGTATAATAAAGTGTGGGTATATTTAAAGTTACCTGTATAAACTTTTTCAAATAATATTATATACTGTAAAGCTTAAGTGTTAATAATCATTTATTCTGTTTTAGCTGTGGCACTTTATCTTGCTGATCAGTGGTGGGCTATTGATGATATTGTGAAAACATCTGTCCCTTCTAGAGAGGGGCTTACAGGTAACAAGATCCTGTAATTTAAAAGTGTTTTTTCTGAGATCATTTCACAATATATTTCCCATAGACACTGATAATTGTTGAAATTATTGAGTACTTCTCCATTTTAGTATAACCAGGTTGTAGTAAACCATTTGAGTTTCATTGTTGTGATGAAACTGGTAGTCTGATTGGGCTTCCTCAATATTACATGGTTCTAAAAGTATCAGAGAATTATGTGATGAAGAGCAAATACCTACGGGTCACTTGAACTAGAGTGACCTGTATTGACGTTAGCTTCTGATTTTCTCACAGGGTAGAGAAAAAGTTGTTCTGTCTGTATATTTGCCGAGGTTCTCGGTCTCTAGGAGAGACTGACCAGAAAACTTCCCTGTCAGTAGGGCCATGTCAGGTGGTCTATTCAAGTGTACTAATCAGTGGACCAGAAGGGAGATCCTTAGTGGCATACTGCCAGACTTTCTCCTTTTTTCTGCCTCAGTCATCATTTTATCGTTTACTTAGAGAAAGACACAGTGGCATACTGTTCATTTCTGCCTGCCACAGTTCTGAATGGGAGAACAATCTGTGAAAGGCAGAATTAAGAAGCAAAGAGCGTGATGATCAAACATGATGAAAAGTAGTACCCAAGTGTTCAAACAATTAACTGCACATGTATACCATGAAAAACAAGCTAAAAGAGCATATAGGAAGATGATTGGGCTTTAGTTAATTAGAAGTAAAACCAAGGTAAGCAAAAAAGCTAATAAAAAACACTTAAGCTTATATAGGCAAAGCCCCCGCTGTCTTAACAACATCTTCACTGTTGAGTTCTGTAATATCTGCAAGTCCCAGTGGAGAGATTAAGGATGTGGGGCAGTTTCAAGGGAGAGGACTAGAATGGCCAGAGTGCCCAAAATTGCATTAGATCAGTCTTTTCCTTTAGTTGTTCCTGTGGTATGAAATTTAGGGGAATGTCGTTTTTTTTAGGCTGTGTGGTTCCAGGGTATCAAATTCTAGTCTTTGGCTGTGGTCAGCTCAGGATGAAGAAGAATTTTATACTGGTCACAGCTGTTCAGGGAAGGAATGGATTGTCCTGAAAGCTAGTGAACTTTGTCATTTCCTATGTTGTTTGGTATCTGACATCCTGTAGTGTGTAGTATGGTTAAGGTGAGAGTAGAGTGTGTCTAGTTAATGCTTTTTTCCCCTTCACTCACCTAATTAGAGGGCACTCTTGTGCTTCTTTAAGGAGACTTGAGGAGAAATAAACTTTATGGATAGAACTCTTGTTTTTAGTGATGAAAGATGTCTATAGGGGAAAACCCCATCATTTGATGTCAGAAAGTTGGTGAGGGGGTCCCAGTGACCATGTGGCCTTTCATGTAGGAATTGAGGCTCTGCTTCCATTCTGTGATTGCCCCAAGTTTGTTTTTATCAGATTTGCTTGTGCCGCTGTCATCACTCATATGATATAGCAAGAAGGGTCTGTGGGTTTGTGTGTGGAGTGAACTGGCAATTCCTTATAGTTACACAATCAGGACATGACTGTTAAATGAAAATTTTACCTGGAAAGATGAGAAAGGCCTTGCTCACCAAATAAGGTAATTGTTCTTAAAGTCTTAGAGGATTACATGAAGCTTCTCCCCCCCCCCCCCCCGCTTTTTATTTACTATTGAGGCTAAAGGAGTGAAAAAGTTGAAGCAGTAGAGGTGGTGGGGCAGCAATTAGCTTGCGGGGAGACCTCAGATCTGGGCAATTGGAAGAAAAAAAGAACACACTTGAACACTGAGGAAGAGATGCAGGGCATTGGTACATTAGATTCTCGTTTTACCTGTTTTAGAATTTTGCTGAGGCAGTATTTCATGCATAATATGTGTTTGTAGAAATGGATTATTACTCTTATGAATGATGGGTCTCATCTGTGTGATGAAGGGTTTAAGAAATCATTTTGAGTGAATTCAAAGTGCTTTGAATACTAGTCTGAGGTATGGAAGCAGGGAGCAAGGTAGGTAGCATTCTGAATGGATATATATCATAACTGTTGAGCCTGGTATCTGACTCTCTTTCCAGGTGAGAACTCTTGGGGAGAGAGTGGTTCTGTATGTTCTGAATCGAATTATTTATAGAAAACAGGAAATGGAGAGAAATGAGATACCATTCCTGTGTCACAGCAGTACTGATTACGCCAAGATTCTTTGGAAGAAAGGAGAGGCCATTGGGTTTTATTCAGTTAAGCCTACAGGTGAGTCTTTAAAAGTTATTTAAACTATTTATTATGGAAACCTCCTTTTTAGACCTCATACTATATTGGTATCTTTTTGAGTGACTCTTTAGAGTTTAAATTGAGGGGCGCCTGGGTGGCTCAGTGGGTTAAAGCCACTGCCTTGGGCTCAGGTCATGATCCCAGGGTCCTGAGATCGAGCCCCGCATCGGGCTCTCTGCTCAGCAGGGAGCCTGCTTCCCTTCCTCTCTCTCTGCCTGCCTCTCTGCCTACTTGTGATCTCTGTCAAATAAATAAACTCTTTAAAGAAAAAAAAATAGAGTTTAAATTGAGGTGATTTTACTTAATATTTCTTGGGAGTGTTTCTACCTTTCTCTGTAAATGAGGGTTGTTAGGAGAGTCTTGAGGAACAAAACAAAAATAAACGTTTGACAGAGGGTAAGATTTCTCCATGTATGTACAAAGAAAGTTGTGCATTGAGCCTCCTGTTTGACTGTCTTGACTCCCTACCACATCCTTCCCTTTATTTAAAGTGGTTGATTCCTGCTGTTGTCACTGTTCTGAGCTGCTTTTAAAATACTTGTCTACCCGTGGACCAAATGCGTAGCCTTTGTCTCCCTCACACAGCTGATTCAGCCTGGCTTATTTTTATTTTTTTATTTTTTATTTTTTTAAAGATTTTATTTATTTATTTGACAGAGAGAGATCACAAGTAGGCAGAGAGGCAGGCAGAGAGAGAGGAAGGGAAGCAGGCTTCCTGCCGAGAAGCGAGCCCGATGCGGGACTCGATCCCAGGACTCCGGGATCATGACCCGAGCCGAAGGCAGCGGCCCAACCCACTGAGCCACCCAGGCGCCCCTCAGCCTGGCTTATTAAGGGCAGCTTTGCTGATTACCATGAAAAACCAAAATAATATATTTAGAGAATTCAAATAGCTTTGAAACTGTTAATCTATAAAGTTTGGATTTTTGATCCTAAGACCCAACTATACCCTATTCCTAAAAGATGGGTGGAGCTTCATTCTGCGTTACCTATTTTCCTGCCATTTCTGCTCTCTAGAGGTACTGGAGCCAGAAAGATTTAACTTGCTTTGATCCATGTACACATACACCCTACACCTTATAACCTCACAAAACAAAGTTGGCCTTTTCTGTACCTTGACCAGAAGACCTTTCGTAGAGAACACTCAAATTATTTTCAGCCTTTCTCACATTTTACACCTTCCATATTCAGCCCTTTTGGTCAGATCAAGTCTGAAGATGATACAGAATTCACTGTTGGTATACAGAACAGTTGTGACTGATGCCTTAATCACATAATTAGTACACACTTAAGAATTAGTTAAAAAAAAAGATAAGAATTAGTGCATGTAGTTGGTGAGAAGGTCACTTTTTCTCAAAAATAAAAAACCGAGATCTGTATACTTTAAACTGGTTTGCTGTTTTATTTTTTTCCAAGATTCATTTATTTAGTGTAGAGGGAGAGAGAATGCACACCTGGGGGCAGGGTTAGAGGGAGACGGAGAGAGAGAATCTCAAGCAGAGACTCCCTAATGAGTACAGAGCCTGACTTGGGGCTCCATTCACAACCCTAAGATCATGACCTCAGCAGAAATCAAGAGCTGAATGCTCAGACAACTGAGCACCCAGTTACTCCAGCTGATTTGCTGTTTTAATAAATACTTTGGTTCTCTCATTTATTTTTGTATAAATTTGAAGTAGAATCAATAATTTATGTAACTTCAGAAAGATCATTATACAGTGGCAGGAAAATAATGTTGGTTAAATGGAAGCATTTCATAAAAGGCATCAGGTTTTTTTTAATGTTTTAATTAGTTTGGGGTTGAGATATGTTTTAATTGCATTATGCTTTATTTTATACAAGGTGATTCCTAAGGTAATTGGAGGATTCCCCTCCTCCCCCCCACTTCTCATACTGGCTCCAGGGGAGTTCTTACTGAAACTAGCTCATAAATGTTCGGAGCACGTATTAGTCTATACTTATTTAGAGCTTAAAGTTACACAGTTAAAGGGCATAGCATTCCTCTTTCAGTATTTCTGATCAGTACTTGATCCAAGAGTGTGCTTCTCTTTCTGTCATGTGCTTTTAGGACTCCTTCTTTCCTCTATGACCTGTCCTCTCTTTATGCTTGTTGTGGTAGTTAACTAAATTTTATATCCTTGAGTTTCCAAGTGCTACTTGTCTACCACTTTTAGCCCCTTCCATACTTCTCTATTAATTGCATCACCTTCTTACTGCTTATTTTAGTTCTTTCCCACTTTAAGCTCTGGCTGTCATCTATCAGGTAACAGTGGAATTAGGTGTCCTTATACTAGCCTTTGAATTAATAGCCATTTAATTCAGTCTAGAAGCATTTTTTTTAAAGGAAACCCAGATGTACAATATTTTGAAAAAACTGTCCAAAACAAATACTAAAACATTTTGTGGTAGAAGTATTCCTAATATATGTTTCAGGGGAAAAAACTGTACCAGTAACAAAAAGATTAAATCTTTATTAAACAGATTTGGCATTGAATGAGAGCCTTATGGTATAACTTACTATTTATGATTTTTTTAAAAGATTTTTATTTATTTATCTGACAGACATAGATCACAAGTAGGCAGAGAGGCGGGCAGAGAAAGATGGAGAAGCAGACTCCCTGCCGAGCAGAGAGCCCATTGTGGGACTCAATCCCAGAACCCTGGGATCATGACCTGAGCCAAAGGCAGAGGCTTTAACCCACTGAGCCACCCAGGCGCCCACTATTTATGATTTTTAAATCGAATAGCAAATCATTATATTGGGATCATCATTGGGATGTAAAAAAGAGTTTTGATGTATAAAAGGAGACTATGGTTCAAATCCCATTAAGTACAATTAAATTTGAGAAACTACATAAGTTCTTTTTAGCCTGAATTAAAGAGATCACTGTGGGGGACTTAGAGATGTTTGTATGTTTTTGGGTTAGGTAGATGTCAGATTATTAAAAATAGTTCTTCACAGTAGATTGTTGTATGAAATCTGGCACCTGACTCTGAGGGAGCTCACAGAATTGAATAATGTCATCATAACAGAAGGTTTTCTGGTCTCTTCAATGGTTATTAAGCACTTTGATCTATAAAAAAATGGAATAGGATTAATGCTAAATCTTGTCTCCTTCTGGTATTAAGTAATTTTCACTCACGGAATCATAAACCCAAAAAAAAGTGAGCTCCATTTGTTTCATAGGAGATGTATGTTTATATTTTTGTACAGGTATGCTTTTGCAGTGAAGAACGGTTGGATAATAAATATGTAATCCAGGTATAAAAATATATTACATCAGGGTAACATTCTGTAGAGTAAGTACAATAGAAATAGAAGTTCAAGAAAAAGGAACATATAAATTTTTTTTTAAGATTTTATTTACTTGACAGAGAGTAAGATAACAAGTAGGCAGAGAGGCAGGCAGAGAGAGAGGGGGGAAGCAGGCTCCCTGCTGAGCAGAAAGCCCGATGCGGGGCTTGATCCCAGGACCTGGAGATCATGACCTGAGCAGAAGGCAGAGGTTTAACCCACTGAGCCACGCAGGTGCCCCGGAACATTACAAAATTCTTGAGTGTTAAGGAGGTTAGTTCAATAGTAAAGGAATAGTTTGTTCAGTGGATGATGAGGGTCATCAAAGTAATAATAGTTTTTAGGGTCCATTTGATACATTTAGAAGAGTGATAAAATAATTTTTATCTTTAATATTGTTTATTAAACAATAGTAATTGTTTAATTGAAAAGAGAAAAATAGTGTATTTACATAGAGCATCATGACAGACACCGTGTTTACTAGATCACAGTTAATACCACCAGGAATAAGACCCGTCAGTATCATGGACTCCTGATCTATAATGTACTGAGAAAAGCATAACATCTTTTTTTTTTTTTTTTTAATTTCTTTTCAGTGTAACAGTATTCATTGTTTTTTGCACCACACCCAGTGCTCCATGCAATACGTGCCCTCCCCAATACCCACCACCTTGTCCCCACAACCTCCTACCTCCAGCCCCTTCAGAACCCTCAGGTTGTTTTTCAGTGTCCATAATCTCTCATGGTTCACTTCATAACATCATTTTTGGTATTTTTGCCCAAAACCCATAACCTTAATTTTATAATGAGAGGACATTAGACAAAGCCAAACTGAAGGTTATCTACAAAATAACTGATTAGTAATCTCTAAAAGTGTCAAAATCATGAAGGACTAAGGTGGAGTAATTCTCAAAGACCAGAACTAAAAAGATACTAAACTAAATCAAGTGTGGAATCCTGATTGGATTCTGAAACAGAAAAAAAGCATTAGTGGCAAAATTGGTGAATTTTGAATAAGGTCTGTAGTCAGTAGTACTTTGTCAATATTCATTTTCCTGTTTTGATAATAGTACTTTGGTTGTGTAAGATGTTAACATTAGGGAAGCTGAATGAAGGGTATATGGGACTCTTGTGTATTTTTGCGACTTTTTTATGAGTCTAAAATTTGTAAGATAGTTTCTTAAAAGTTAAAAGTGGATCATGGAGGCAGTCACAGGACTGCTTTTTTTCTTTGCAGTCTAATAGGGCTGTTGTGCTCTAAACAATGTACACATTAAACTTTGATTAAAAACTAAAAGTGAACATTTAGAAAAGTGGAACTATATCCAGAATCTTATCAGTGTCTACTGCAAAACTGGCTGAACTTTTTAAGTCCTCACAGGATCTGTAATGATAAAAGGGCTGTGCTAACTACAGAACTGCTAATGAGAAATGTCCACATGCAGCTGAAAAGCAAGAAGCCCCTTTGTTAATTCAGTGGAAATTTTATAACTCTTTGCCCTATGTCAAGAAATAGAGAAGGTGAAAATTTGTGTAAATCAGATACCACATTGAATATAGATGAGCTGGAGGGAACAAAATTGAGGACACCCATTAGCTGCTGTTTTAGAATTGTCCATTATTATCTGGCTTCAAGTATGAACCATCTTGATGAATTCGAAAACCTGTATTTTGTGAAAGCCCA